CCGTCCTGTCCTCCAGATCCCAAATCTGGCCCTCCCCACTCCAAAATAACCTAAAAAGCAAAAAGAAGAACAAAATTCCGGATGCTCAGCTGCAGCGTTTGGCCCCGTTTCCCTAGTTTGGTGTTACCTCTCTTTGGCTGCTCAGTGTGTGCCCACCTTGGCAATAAGACACCTTGCGCTGAGGCAGGTAGGGTGATTTGAGGGTATTAGTATCTCTTCCAAGCCGCTGCTTCCCCAAAGCATCCACCCCTGGCATGGCCCATGGCTGGATTGCACCGTGGAGCAGTGATCCATCGAGCGTGTGGTCCAAAGGGACTGTGCTGTGGGCCAGAAAGCCACCAAGGAGCCGCACCAGAGCAAGGGGCTGCAGACCCCGGGAGCAACCACAGAGGTACAGGGGGGAAAGAGGTGCTCACTGCTGCATCCTTGGACAGTCTGTGCCTGCCTCCACCATGTCCTCAGCTACAGAAGTCATTCCTGTGAAAGCCAAGGCAACGGGGCTTCAGACCCTGATACAGGCGTAGGACAAGGCCTCATCGTAGGACAGGAGACCAGCAGGTTGCAAGCACCTTTTCCTAGATTTTACTGCAAAAGGCAGCCACCAAAGTCCTACAGAGCGTGCAGACAGCATTACCTGCTTCACCCACAGCCTCCTACTGCAATGGACCCAAAAGGGGTCCCTCCACCCCTACGCCTTTGCATCTGCTCTGTGTGCTGTGGTACTTCCAGTCACTGCTGCTTGTGGTTTTTGTGATCATGAACACTAAGCTCAGGAATTTGTGTTTGTTGCAGCATCCCCATTTTCTGTTAAAATCAAGGTTTTCCTTTATATGGGAACAGGATAGTTGTTGTTGGCTTCTGGATAAGCAGTAAGGTTTCCTCCCATCGTGGCTGTGGTGACTGTTGTGGCTCTCGTTACAGGTGTGGTGCAAGGGGTTGTTTAGCTTGTTCCTCTGCATCAACGTCTCCCAGGGGCAAGCGGGCAAGTTGTCTTCCCTCCTCCCCATTCACTTCCAGCCCTGCCCTGGGAAACGCCAACCGAACAAAAGCCGGGTCCCTTTGGACACCTCATTATTTCAGTTTGCCAACGGCATTGCTTTTCCTCCCTTGGCAGTTTGGCTGTGGGTGTTTGTGACTTCTCAGTTTCCATGCCCTTAATTCTCAGATGCTCTTCTTTTCCTCCTCCTCTTTCTTTCAGAAAGGTTTGTTTTCTAGCGAAAGCAAAAGCTGCAGCCCTCTCCCCAAGCCTTCCCTCTCAGTTGTTTGCTGTGGTGTTCGCTACAGGGCTCTGGTCAGACATGCTTCAGCACACCCCTGCTTTTGGAGACCTCTGAATTAGATGGGACCTTTGCTCACCTTTTGCAAGGTGCTTTGAGGGCTTACGATGAATTGCATGGAGTAAGCGTGGCTATAAACTGCAGCAGCAACTTTTAAAGCAAAATGGGAGACGTCAAGTGCACAGATTAACCCCTTGGTCCAAAGAGACACCAGCTCTGCTGGATGTGCTGGGATTAGAGCACGGTCCTTGCCAAATATCTCGGACCCCTTCGTTGGCCCAGAAATGATGGACCTCTTGGCCCTTGGTACAGTCACACGTGCAATTGTGATAACGTTGCTGAGGTACCTGTTGCTCCTTGGCCCTTGGGCATCTCCACACATAGGACCCAATGCCTGCAGGGCAAACCTCTACTCCTGACGGGTCAATATGCTGATGTAAGCAACAATTGAGAGGACAGAGAAGGCAGCAAAACACTAGGTTTTTAAACCTACTTTAAAACCTAGTATTAGTGTCATTAGACACCAAAATGTCTCTGATTCAGGGTCCAGGAGGAGCTGAAAGATGCTGATGCAGGTTTTAGTACCGCTGAAATATCAATACAGGGATCTTGGCCCAGGTCTGCCCTTGCTGCTAGAAAATGTAATCCTGATTTACACCAGGATTTAACTTGGGCTCTGTGTCCCCCTTGCTCCACTTCACACAGTGAAACTGTCTCTCTCAAGTGTGGGGAGGGGGAATACCTTCAAGGGAATAGGACGGGCCAGTCGCATCCCTGTGTATCCCGAGAGATGATTTTATTCACACGCTTTCTTCCACCTCGCTCCAAGGCTCCCTCCATGTCCCATTAAGCCTGTGGTGTTTGAGTCACTGAGTGGGAATGGGGGACTGGAAGTTAATTTAGAGCTGTTTTCTATTTTCCTGCCTCTTGGCTGGCCCTACATGGCTTTGGGTGCCATCTGGCTCTATAACACCCTTTCTGTGACCCTTCAGAGTTGTCTAGCTCTTATGAAAAGAAATTAAGGCCCTGAAATGGGGGGTGGGTGGGTGTTAAATAATTTCCAGCAGTTGTTCTAAAGGGTTGTCTGGATCTATAACCTGCGCTCCCACAGGTTGCATTGGTATTGCTCAGCAAACGAGGGACAGGGGCCAGACTCCGAAGCCAAGTGGTTCAGACAACCCTGCATCTCCACCACCTAGACTGGTCTCCTTCCCCCTCAGCTGCTTCCAGAGCACAGGGCAGTCTTGGATGAGATGCAACAAGCAGATAGCTTTGAGGGCACCCACCTCCCAAAGTCCATTTTGCGTAGGTCTTCTACAACCTGGGGTTAGTTATTGCTCTCTGAGGAGGACCCAAAGGCTGATCTTGTGAATCAGCCAGGGCAGGAGAGGAACATCACATGGTGCCTGGACCCCACTGCAGTCCGTCATCAGGTGCAAGGTCATTCCTTCTACTGCCACCACACATGGGGGTAAAAGAAACAAGGCAGTCAAGCAAGGTCCATGTGACATTGTCACATGTATCTCAGGTCAAAAAGGTCTCCAGGGTTACCTGAAGGTATTTTTAACTTTTAAAACCTAAGGGTTGGATCAACAGTTGTTGTTAAAGGTGCTTTAAAGCTAGTGAACAAGTGAGGCAAGAGCTCAGAGAACAGCCAGAAGGGTCAGGTTTCCTCAGACCTCTCTTTTGTCCCTTCAGATGGGTCTGTGTAGCTCTTAGCTTTCTTGATTCTGTCCTCAGGGTCTTTAGGAGTAACAGCAGACTGGTGACTACAGGACAATTCCCAGGAAAATGACCCACCTTGAGCCCTTGGTGTCTGTGGTTTGTCTGGCCAAGGACAGCCTCTGATGTCTCTGATTTTTGGGGCTTCTTCTGGAAGTCAAAGCGATAGCCTCCAGGGATCATTCTGGGTGGTTGTGAGTCAAGTGTGACACAGTCCAGGTGATGGTACAGCCTTTTGTAAAAATATTTTAGAAAAACTGTTTCCTGGAGTTCATTTAACACAGTTTGAGCTCCCAAAGTGCCCTGCAAACATGGCATGTGACCTGAGTCACAGATAGGATGGAGACAACCCAGATGACTTGACTCCGCACAATGTCTAAAGCTTTGTGCTGAAACCCCTGCACTGTCCAAGTGTCCAAAGCAGTGACTACATCCCGAAGATGCCATAGCACGCTTGCAGGAGTCAGGCCTTTTCCATGGTGCACCCGAAACTCTGGCTGTGGTTTAGCTGTTGTGTCACGGGGCCACTTGGCAGAAGGGAGCATGGCTTGGCATGGCACCCCTCTTCAGGATCTGCAGCCTCATGGAGCCACCCAGTACCCTGCAAAGAGAAAAGCGTTCACCACTATCCCCCTTTATCCCATCCACTGCCTGGACAACCCACCAGCACAGCACCGGTGCTCTGGATTTAATCATGCACAGCAATTGCTGGGGAATGAGTGGTCCCAGTTTGGGCACAATGGTCTTGCTTGTGCTCATGTGGGCTCAGAGCATCCCTACAGTGCCTGGAAAGAGGTTGTTTGGGTTGCTTGCATCTTGGACCTGCTTCTCCATCTGGCCCAAAGAGACAAGCATTAAGGCGCAGACTGTGCCTGAGTTCCCCTTTCCAAGGCGCACTAAGGTGAAGCCCACATGTGAGCACCCTCTCCAACACCGGGCCAGTCCGTTCGAAGGCAGGCAGACCCCTGCTGAGCTGCTGGCGTCCACCTGCAGCAGCAGTGTGGAGCCCGACTCCTGCCAGCTGCGCCATCCAGAAAAGGACGGGTGTTCCTGAGGGACAGGTTGACTATGAGTCAAACACGTACCATTGCAGAGATGGGGGCCAAACTAACTCGAGAGCAGCCAGCAGGGTGAGGGAAATTATTCTTTCCCTCTGTCTGGCATTTGTTAACCCCCGTCTGGGCACTGTTTTGGGGTCCCCAGAAGAAGACAGTGGCAGACTGAAGCGAGCCTGATGGAAGCCACCAAGATGGTCTGGAGCACAGGACATGCAAGGAGAGGCTGAGAGAGCTGGGTTTGCGTGGCCAGGAGGAGGGAAGGCAAAGGGGGAGCTTATTGCTGTCTGCAGGTACCTAGTGGGAGGGTGTGGACAAGATGGAGCCAGAGTCTTGCTGGGGATGCACAGTCACAGGACAAAAGTCAGCAGCACAAGCTCCAGCTTACCTTCAGCATGAGCATGGTCAGATGCTGGAACAGGAGCCCAGAGAGGCTGTGGTATCTCCATCCATGGAGATACTCAAAGATGGACTGGACAAAGCCCCAAGCAATCTGATTTAACCTTGAAGTAATTCCTGCTTTGAGCAGCAGGTTGGACCAGACCCCTCCAGAGTCTCCTTCGAACCTGAATTATCCCATGAGCCTACACTCAGAGAAAGCCACTGCCACCCACACCTGTCGGGTGGCATCCCTGGCTGCCTGCCTTCATTTCAGGATAACGAGCCATGGTTGTCAGGGAGGTTGCCAGGGAGGCTGACATCAGACATCCCTTCCCTATAGATTATCGTGCACAGCAGCACCATCAGTTCCTAATCTGCAAACCAGGCGGGAGGGCACCCAGAGGAAGCCCCGGAGGGTGTTTTGCGTCACTGGCCGGGTTGCCTAGCATCGCTGGGACCGCGGAGAGGGGGCACCAGCTCCAGGGGCTTGGAGGCTTTTTCCCCCTGTGTGTCCTGTTTGGGAGCCAAACGTTGCTGAGGACGTAGCAGAGGAGCAACCGAGGCGATGGCAGCCGAGGCAGGGATGCTCGAGCTGCCCTTCGTCCGCGATGACCAGCTCACCCGGTGCATGCGACTGCGATTCCAGAGCCTGCAGCAGAAAAACGCGAGGCCCCAGGATGGTGAGAAGCTGCTGCGTCCCAATGAGCACATCTACCGAGTGGATTTCATCCGGCAGCACAACCTGTGCTTCCTCCGCTGGGACATCCAGCTGGAGAGACCTGGGAAGGTGACGGTGACCGGCACCTCCCAGCACTGGACGCCTGATCTCACCCACCTTATGAACCGGCAGCTGCTGGAGCCAGTGGGCATCTTCTGGAAGAAGCCAGGGGCCAAGGAGGTGGAGTGCAATGAGGCAGATGCCCAGGAATTTGGGGAGCGGATAGCGGAGTTAGCCCAGATCCGCAAGGTGATGTATTTCCTCCTCGCTTTCACTGACGGCCTTGAACCAGCCCAGCTGAAGGGCTCCATCGTTTTTAAAGCCTGATACCCTCTTGCTCAGCCCTTCTTGCTCCAGCTGTGCTTTTGTCTTCATTTTTCTTTCTCTCAGTTCAGTTCTTGGTTCATTTTTTATGTGGTTCTTTTTTTTTTATGAGGGATGGCGTCAAGAAAAATTGGAGGACCACTTGGAGCTTCTGGAGCCCCTCAGCCCTGTGAAATGTTCCCCATACCTGCTGTCCCCTGTCTGAATGATGGGGAGGAGGGGGCCATGAGCTTGCTGCTGTATTTGCCTAGAGTATAAGACTGCATGCTTGTGAATTCAGCAGGGATTCACCAGGTCTGACTGGCGCAGGGTCTTGCTGGCTTGGAAATATGAGGCTGCCCTAAGCCCTCCAACTGTGGGAACTGCATACCAAAAGCCTGATGGAAAAATAAGAAATTGCCATACTAGAAACGGGAGAGACAACCTGGAGAGAGCCCTGGCTTCCAGCTTCCACCCTAGCCATTAAAAAGGGAGGGCTTGTTTGCGATGGAGTGCTTCTCCCTGCAAGGATGCTGAGTGCTTGCAGGCTGCAGTGACTCCTGCTGCGACTGTGGCTGCTTGGTGTCTCTGAAGACCAGTCCCATGGAGGATCACCTGGCCGTGAAGCTGAAGTACATTTGGACATGCCGTATTCTGCAGATTGCAAACCCACCGGACAAACTGGTGCAGGGAGGTTGGACCGCGCTTTTCCTGAGAGCCGCCACCGTTTCTTGCTGGGGGTCACTGTGGGGAGGTGTACTCCAGCACGTTGCCCACCTTGTGCTGCCTGGTGGTTGTTGGTCCTGAGATGGGTTGGAGCAGGCATGCATGTGTGTGCAGATCCGGGCAAGTGAGCCAGCAGCTCAGAGCAGGCTGTAGATCTGAGCCAGCATTGCGTCCCCAGCAGCAAAAACAATTTGTGTATTGTTGTGGCCTTAAAGCACCCATGAATATATTTATTCTGAAGCATCTATAGAGAGTTGTGAGGCTGCAGAGCACTTTGCAAACGACAGAGCAGGAACCTGCTGCTGCTGTCCCCAAAAAGCAGTATCCCCTACCCTCTACAAATGCTGAGGCAGGGGGCGGTGTCTGGGCGGCCGTGGGAGCAGAGAGGGGAGATGGTACTTTTGCAAGTTTAGGAGCAGGAAGGTGTTTTGTGCCTGGCTTGTCCCATGGCTGTGAATAAACTACTGACTTTGGACGTTCCCTTTTCCTCCACCAGAAAGTAGAGGGTACTGTGGTGAAGCTTCTCGAGACCCACAGATAGAAATGTCCTTTGAAAGAGTCAAGTATTATTACAGTTGGTCCTTTGCTAAGGTTGCAGTCAAACGTGGGTGAGCGCTCCTCAAGGTACGGCCTGAGATTTTCCTGAGAAGTGTAAGGAGAGGGCAGTGATGGGAAAGCCAGGACAAGGTGATTTTGTACCCATGGCCTGCTGACTTGTGCGGACCATCCCCAAGAGAGTCCAACCTCTCCTTCAAAGCCTCCAGAGATGCAGATTCCATGCCCTCCCCAGCCCAACAATAGTGCATAAAATGATATGCCCAAGCTATGCCAGGCAGAGAGGAGAAGGAAAGCAGGAAGATCAGCTACTGGCTGGAGAGATGGTGGGAGCTTTGAGTCTTGCCCACAACCAAAGCTCAGCAACCCCTGAATCATACAGCCATGCCATGGGCATTGCCAGAGACGTTGATGTCTTTGTTCAGACCCCAATAAATGCTGGACTCAGTGAGGAGAGAAAAAAAGTGGATGCATCCCTGCTCGGCCATAGCATGGACCCACTGTGGGCCAAACCCACTTCTAGGGTCCTGGCAGACTTTCCCATAGGAAACCCTTCCTTGTACATCCCAGAGCAGAGCTCCTGACTGCAGACCACATTAGACCAAATAACAGGAGCCGCTGCCAACATCCAAAGGGGGTTTTGCATGCCAGGTCTCACAATATGCCATTGCTGGTTGCTGGGTTAGAGTTCTTGCTGCAGATACCTCGCTGGGCATTGATGTACCACAGTAAATAAAAGCCTAGCCAACAGGGTTCCTCTTAAAGGACTGAGGCTGTGCGTGTCTTCTTCATGCTCTTTTTGGAAGCTGCCCCAATCCTGCACACAATAAAGCAGCACCCGCCAACTTTCAAGTCACTGCTGGTATTTTTGAGCACCTTTTTGTCTCCTGTAAAAAGTAAAATGAACATTTACCTTCTTTTCTCTTGGTGTGAAAGGCTTAATGGAGCATTTAGCAGTTTGTGTGCTTTGGGGAGGGGTTTGAAGCTGGGCAGAGGACGGGAAACCATCCTCAGGTGGATCCTCAGGTGGATCCTCCTTTCCGTGAGAGCTGGGGGTGGGAGGTGAGTGGGGCAGTGTAATCTCTTTCTGCTGCAGGGAAGATGAGCCTCTTTATACCAGTCACTGAAACCCTCCCTACGCGGTTTCAGCATCCCATAAAGGCTTTCAGATACACCACTCTGTCCCACCTCCCAGGGGAATTTCATCCTGGTTTGTACCGTGGTTTAGCAGATTGGCACAGCTGGGTCCCTCCCTCCCCTTCCCGAGCTGGCAGGTTCCCAGCAGAAGAGCCCCTGCTTGGAGGATGAGCGTCTACCAATTCCTCCTTCTAATCACGGACATTTCTCCAGGGTCACAGGTGCCTTCCCTCTTAATTAGCCACTCTTAAGAAAAATGAGAAAAGCCCTAAACCAGCACAGGGAAATGAACCTGGTGTTTCTGGGCTCCCAATTTACCTGTCTCTGAGCCCTTTCACTGTAAATTTGTCCCACCAAAGGGTGTTACAGCTCCAGATTTCGGGAGCCCCTAAGCAAAAAGCAGCACAGTTGAGTGAATAAGGAGACGTGGTCTCCACTGCCTCAGTGTCACACAACCAAGTTGAGTTCAGGACTCAGTGGGATCCTGGGATGGGTGGTCCATGGCATGCTCTCCAGCATCCACTGAGGAGGGATGGAGACGTCTGGGGAGGTTTCCTGGGGGTGGGTGGGAGCCGTGGACCTCAACCACATGATGATCTCCTGGAGGGATCTGGGCTGCAGCTACTGCTGGGGTTTGTAGATGTGCCCCAGGTTGATCCTTTAGGTAATACTCAGCGTCAGGTCACAGACCAGGGTTGTGCTGTATGCCTTGAGGTGTGGTGTCCCGATCAGCACTGCAACCAGAGCTGCCACCTCTCCCCTACAGCCAGGGGAGTCACAGACACCTTGGCCAGGGAGTGGAGCAACTGGAGGGGTCCTTGGCCTGGGTGAGATGCTGTGCTCTGCGAGGAGCTTGGGGGGATGAACCTGATGTTTGAGCTCACACCTTGCACTTCGGCAGGTTGAGGACAGATTGGGCTCTGGAGATTCCCACTCCTCTCGTTTCCCCTTGGGTCGGTGTAGAAACACGACCAGTCCTTGCTCCTGGATCCTGCTCTGTGTGAAAGCTGACTGCTTTTGCTACCTTTAGCAGCAGAGGGTGTTTTCAGCGCTGTCCCCAAATGAAGGGGCAGAGGAGGGTGGCGGGGACTGGTACCTCCTGCCACCACTGACAGTAATGCCAAGTCTCAGAACCAGCCAGCTGGAAGCTGTCGCTACCAGCTCTGGCTGACAAGCTGCCTCTAATCAATGCCATAATCATTTCTAAGCCCATGTTAATAGTGAGTTAATTAGCACAATGGTCCTCTATGACAATTCATTAGGATGAGCTCCAGTCAGGAGGAATCAATGGGGACTGATGGAGGGCTGTCTGACCTTTCCTGGAGCTCTCCCAGAGGGAGTCTGGGGCATCATTGCTAGCACTCCTGGAAAACACCAAACCCTCCAAAAGCGGCTCTTTTTCATGGCTCTGTCTGCTTTGCTTCTATTGATCCAGACAACTCAAGAGTGCCAGTGAGCTGGCTGATGGCATCATTAATATTTCAGTGTAGGAACACTAAAAGCCCTGGGCTGGATCGTAGCTAAGGAGTTGGGGGGCTCTCCAGAGAGAGAGACTTCCAGAGAAGTCTCTCTGCAGGGTTACGGCTTCGTGACGGCAGCCAAAAATAAAAAGCAGAAGGCTCCAGCAGCTGGACAAGGGCCAAGGCACGGTGCAGGGGGTCTCACCATGGCCCGGGACTTCCTGAAGAGCCTCTTTCCACGCAATGTAGCTGTGTCCTGTCCTATCCCACCCCAACGCTCGCAGCTGTCTCCACAAGACAGTGATTATTAAGTGTATTGGAACATAATTTTCCCCGTGGGCACATTGGGGTTTTTCCTCGCTTAGGTCACGATGCTTTAGGAGCAGGTAAGTAAAGAAGCAAAGGTGTGGACAGTCGGTCACATTACTGCAGCTGAATCGGTCAGTACTTGTCAACTACATTAACTATACATGGCCTCACAGCCCACCCTGGCCATGAAGTAAAACCATGTTGCCTTCACCCTCAACAAAAGCTAAGCTGTGGTGGGGCAGTTCCTTGCTGTGTGCCTCTGTGTCCTGGTTCTAAATAAAATGCAGGTCCTCCTAGCTGTGGGGCTGTGCCCATTTCTGTCCCAACTGTTGGATGGATTTTCCATCCAAAGCAAAGCTGGTGGTGCCTGCAGCCATGAAGGACTATGGACTTTGGCAGACACCCTTCACTTGTGCCTGTCCCACTGGCAGTGGAGATGGCAGTGACACCAAACCTGCGCTTCCTCAGCCCCTCAGCTGCTCTAGGGTTTCTTTCACCCCCGGCTCTCTTTTCCTTCTTTCAGCAAGTCACCTCCCTGTGCTTGCTTGCATGAGTATGGTATCTCCTGACAGGGAAGAATGGAGACCTTGTGGGGATGGGGATCTTGTTTTTCCCACTTTTATTTAGTGGAGTAGATGTACGCAGAGTGTCTGGTCCCTGTTCATTGCCACCAGGCAGATGAATACAACACTTGCTCTTGGGCCAGTCAAGTCACACCAGAATCAAGTAAGAGAATCAAAGAAGGTGCCCTCTCTTAGTGGCACCCTACTGACACTAAAATGAACGAAAATGTGGTCGTAAAAATAACCACCCCTGGTCAGACCAAGGACTCTTCTG